CGTTGAGCAGAGGTCTTCTTCGCACAATCCAATAGTCACAAGTCCACTGCAGTCCTCCTTCGTTACTAAAGGCGGTTAATTTACTCACCTTTTCCAACAAAATCTATTGTATGCCAGCATCAATGTACTAAGGGATTCTTCAAAACCCACCTTATCTTCTCATAGCTACCATTTTAGCCACGTGATCGCCTATTCCGGTTGGCATCACCTAGTTACCGTGTATGACGTGGAATATTAACCATCACTTTGACATACACAGGCCCGGAATGCCGGCTGCTTGGATTCCACTCCGGCTCTACGCGCTCTCCGACTGAAAGGGGAAACGAAGGATAAAGTCTGAAAATGACTGCAGCTCGCAGACTCGGACGAAGTTGGGCTTAGTCCAACAACTTTCTTCCGCCTGGCTGACCCAGGCTACGCTGCCAGGTGAATACACCCGGCGTCACGACCGGGCTGAAACGTCTGTATTGGGGTGGGGTGAAATCAATCGTTTCGTAGAATTGAACATCTTCAACAAGCTTGGTCCAAAAAGATACACGATTTCCAATTCGTTCGCAATTTCGCTCTGTGCCCATGCCCAACTTATAAGAGCCTAATCATGGCTATCGGCCGCCCCGTTGGTGTATAAGCTACAAACAGGTGGCTTCCATTGTATCGAAGTTGCATTGGAGCCCCACTTCACTTGGCACAATGACTTTTCACTGACCCATCTGCTTTGTTTTCCCCTCCAGACGGTAGTTGTCGCGGGGAAACGGCCTCCAGTTGTGCACTTGCGCCCCTGTCCACCTTGCCAACTATCCGCTATCCGCATAGTTTTCGCTTTGTCCATCAATCCATCCTCTTTTCGAGGAATATATTACTTATTTGCTCGTCCGTCTGTCTGCTTATGCATCTTGGCCAACACAGACGCAACAGGCAAACATGCACATCCCCGAATAGCACCTCGCACAGGAGCACTCTTCTTCAGCCGCTTGTCTGGTCCAAGAGGCGCTCTTCCGTCCACTCAGATTTCCTGATTCTGTGTACATGAGAGGATGTACTCTGACTGGCCAAGGGCGTTGGATACTCTTATCGATAGGTCAAAATCCCAAAATCCCAGCCTCCATTTACTTGTCATATGAGCCGTCTCCATGACGACTTTCCGGAAGGTAGAGAATAGGCCCTTTCGGCTCTTAGAGACCAACAAATTGTTGGTTGTCTTTTCATTTCACCAGATCCACCTTTTTAACTAAAGCTCTTTTGCAAAAGAGCCCCCAAACATTGCAGGAACAAGCGATGAACACTAAAGTTGCTGTTCCTTCAAGTAATCCCGAGCAATCACGATCACAGTCACAACCAAAATCAGTGTCCCTATCACGTAACACTAGCAATTTCAGTATCGAAATCACAATCACTGCAAATGCCATTATCAAAATCACTACCATTACATTAAAAATTAAAATCAAAATCATTATTATCATCAGTATAAATATCACAATTACGATCACGATCACTATCAGTATGACTATCACAACAACTATGAATATCACTATCGTTCTCAAAATCAAAATCATATTCCCAATCACAATTACAATCCAAATCATTATCACGATCAGTATCAATATCCCTATAGATATCACTATAACTATTATTATTAAAACTGCAATCACAATCAGAATAAAATCGCTAAGAATATTACTCTCACTACCTCTGTCACTTTTAATTTCACAATCAGCCAATACAATTCATGTTGAATGTAATCATAAGTATATTTTTGTCCTATCGTCACTCCTATTCATGTGATTTGGAATAGGACTTGATTGCGTTTGAAGTCTTATCTGACCTGTGACTCACTGGCGCTCTTGACCGTGAGGGGGAATTCTAATGGAATGCCATGACGAGTAGGATGCAGTTTCGAGTCTTGTTAGAGAGACCTTAAATGAAGTATGCAAATGTTAAGTAAAAGTCTACGGCATAATTGGACTTGATCACAACTATGTGGGAAAAAATTTCACTAGCATTCTTAAAGCGACGTTTTTTAAAAAAAATTATTCACAGTTGCAAATCATATTCACACGAATATGCGTCATATTCGTATATTTTATTCTCCACGAAATACAATTAAAACATGTTTACCAAAACATATTATGGCTCTGGCCTCTAAACTCTTGCTCCCACTCTTCACTGGCAATTCTGGACAGTTATCTGAAAATTCTGTTGTGCAAATGGTTATTGCCTCTGCATTTGTAGCATTTTAGCCTTGTGCAAATTTTAGATTTACTCACTTGATCAATCGTTTGTCCTGTCTATTGCTGCTCATGCATAACGTTAGTTACCTCTCCTATTACTTTAGTGACCAGTACTACTCTTCCCATACACAAGTTTATGTCCATTTATGTGTTCGCTTGTCTGCCCGCTTGTGTAGTCTATCAGTTGTGTAGAGGTTGAAACAAGCCAAAGAGTAAAATCATAAAGTAAAGCCATCCTTGTAGAAAGAAGAATCCTTCAACTGGGCTAAAACCATTTTGAGCTTCCTTCATGGCAA